TGTGATAAGAACACATGGGAGAATAAACCTGCATGATATTTACCTTGATTTCAGTTTTAAAGAACGTGCATACCTGCCTAATCCGAAGCTGGATGTGCCTGTACTGCGAGTGTGAACAGCATAGTGGGGAGCTCATTGTGCTTTCCCACATGGGAGCACAAGAAGGAGGTTGCCTGAGGTCCATCACCTGGTGAAATGCTAATCATAAACAAGTTCTACACTCATACCATACGTACACAAATGCCCTGTTTGATTGCAGCACCTGCCTGTCTTGCTGAGCAGGGATTCCATGAGAAACCTTTTTTCTATCCCTCTCCTTTTCACAACGAACCCAAGTATTACGATTCCTCCTGGTCAGCATTTGGTCTCCCTGGCTCTGTTTTTACGCTCTTCTGCTGTTCTGCATGAAAAATCCATTCCAGTCATCTGGTATCCACCTCTATCTCTGCATTTTCTGTCCTGCCCTCCACCTCACCCCCCTCTCTGTCTCTCGCCTACTCTTTTCAGTGACACTCAGTATCAGCACTCTCTTTTTTTCCTCCTCAGAGTGGGGCTGCTGAGTAAAGAACTAGACACTCAGGACTGTGGATCTTTCTCGAGCCCATTTTAATTAGACTGCAGTCCACTGTTATGTTTTCTTTTCTCTCATGGGTGCAAGTGTGCGTACGCGGATCCGTGGATGTGCGTGATTTTACAGAAGCTCATGACCTCGAAAGCACTCACTGCTCGTGATTATGTTCTCTTCCAGGGAATTCAAATCACAAAGTTTGAGTTAGCTTTCACTGCTGTATCCCATATTTAAAGATGGCAGCTTTTGTCAAATTACATAGAAGAGAATATGACTCTGTTAAGGTGGAACTTGACTAACAACCGAGCTCAGATTCACCTGTTTAGTTAAGCCGGCGTTGAGATGAAAAGGTGGCACATTCAAGGCACATTGCTGTTCTGTAATACAACTATATCTATTTTTCTGTTCAGTGTTACATTTATTTTGTGTTTGGAGGTTGATGCCACTCTGATTCTGTACTTTACATAGAAGTATTGTTACCTTCAATCTACATCTTCATTGCATTTTCACAAGTTTCTTTTCAACAGCTGGATTGAGGCACCAGTGTGATGGTGTGGATCAGGGTCTTGGCTTAAACACATCATCACATTCATCCTACAAAACTTTGGCCTTTTAACCCTTAGACACGCCCTGCAGTTACCTCTGGCACGTACAATCTCAGAACTACATATGGTTGAGTGACCCTGAAAAACAGCCGGCTTCAATGACTCGCAACTATGTATAACTGCATGACTCATGGCTGCTTCCGTTGTCATGAACTGTTATACCACCAGCAAACTTGCCAGAGACCGCCTGTGGCACTATCATGCTGTGGCGTTGTCGTTTTGGCTTCTACATTGCCGAGCAATAATCATTTCCTCTTTGGCCGGCTTTGGCCCCTCTGGCCAGACTACGGTGTTCTAGTTAGCTCAGCAGCCATGTTGGTAAAGCTTACTGGGTTTGTTGTGTGGCCGTCATTATTTTGAGATGATTCTAAGCGACAATGAGGATGTTAACTGGACCACACAAAGCTCTGGTGTCATGCAGAATGCAAAAGAATCCAAATGAAACATGACTCACAGCAGTGTTTTATCATTTTTCCTTCATGCCGGGGCTTGAAGTTGGGGTGTCTGTGCACAACGTGAACAGGAAGGAGAGACATCCTCATGCTTGGCAAGATATTCTGTTTGTCAGATGCTTTTTCCTCAAGCACCTCAGAGTTCTGAGAGTTAACACATTACCGTGAGTGGTCTAAGAGATATCTGGATCTCTGTGCCACTTGTGCACGGTGAGAGAAAACAAACATTATTCATCTTTTATTTCTTGATTGCAATAATAGAAATGTTTTGTCTTTGCCCATGGCAGACTTATGATCAGCTTCTCTCTCTCAAGTTGTTTTGATTAGGGTTTAGACAAAATAATTACACAACTATACTCCAGTACTCACTGCTGCAGCAGCAACCACACCACTGAATAGAGACTGATGGCAACAACCTTCAGCCATTGGCTGAGGGCTTGTGTTCCATTGATCCGATTGCATTAATCAAGGTTGTTTACAGGGAAAACACAGCAACTAATGATGGATGACTGCTGGTAATTATGCAAAAGGCTGCAAACATCACACCTCTCATTCATGGTGTGCTGAATTAGTCAATGAAAATAATCCACAATCTTAGCTATGTTTGCACTGGTAGAGAAATCTCCTGGACAACTCTTTAGCTCAGATTTGACACATTTTAAAAGTGCAAGGCAAAGCGACAGGAACGGAACAAAAGAGACTGACAGATATAGAAAGAGGGAACCGTTGTTTGTGTGATCACAGCTCATTGCCCTGCTGATTTTCAAGACAAAGTAAGAGGGCACAAGTGGCAGGATGATAATTAATTGTGTTTTAATTATTACCAGCTATTTTATTAATCAGCTCTGCGTACCTCTTTGTTTTTCCTGCTTCCCTCTGCACTAAAGGCTTAGTGACTTGTTTAACCCTCGACTGCTGGTCCTGAGCTTTCTTGTTTGCCGGGTTACCTGTGTAGTGAAGTAAGGCTTCAGTTCACTTCACTGTCAGTGAGGCACCACCAATAATAGGCACTTCTTCAGCACATGCCTTTGAAACAGGTGTTGTTTTCAACACTAATGATGATCTAGAAATCACCAATCAACCAATGTATATAAGAAATATTTTAAGTAAGGGCTGTGTTTTATTCTTAGATTCACCCTACTGAGTAGTCAACTCAGCAAAACTAGTCTTTAACATTTGGGTGTGACACTGCACTTGCTTTCTAACCTTACCTGTGCTTCTCCTCAAGTGTGGTTGTTACTACACTTTACATTTTGCCCACACCATCTAACTGATCCCCAGCTGCATTTTTACCACCTTCTGCCCGGAGTTTTTTGTTGCTTGGATAGCCTGGCCAGGGCAGCATATATATCTTGTGCCCCCCCATAGTTAGTAGCATTATGGCCAAATGGCTCTTGCTATGTGAGCAGCAGTAGCCCTTGCTCTCCTGTGGCCTGTAGCAGCCAGGCGAAATAAATATTACATGGACTCCATTCTAAAGGGTAGCCGTTCCCATTCGTTTGTGCTGCACTGGGCTGTTCTTAACTTTTACGGTCTTACATCAGCCATCCGGCTCTGCTGTGACTCTACTGAACTTTGTTTCTTAGTTTTTAGTTCTTTTGTTGGAGGGAGTTGTTTCTCTCTTTTTTTTTCATCTTCATCTGTTTTCATATCTGTATCAGCTTTAACTTTTCTGCTGGCAAGTTTCATCCACTCATCCTTTCTTTGCAAGAATGTAGCAGCATTTTCCTTTATATTTACTTCACACATGGTGTGATCAAAAGTCTTTCTATCCAATTTCATGTGGCTGAAGACAAAAAGCCCATGAAAAAAATGATATAATAAAAAAAAAAAAAAGTAACAGGAGTAAATGGGAAAACAATTCTCCAGCGGGCTGTGTGTGTTCTTGCCAGGCGGGACCATCAATTGATGGGACATTTTTTACTCTCGACTAAATAATTTCACACACAACTGGGAAGGGGACAATCATATTTCTCGAGGCTGTACTATATCATCCACTCGAGCAGCTGGTATATTGCTCTCAGGCTCAAGCCAGCTAACCAGTTAGAAAGGAGCCACTGACCCTTGAAGTGGTATGGGATTAAAAATATTAGACCCACAATAAACAAATCATCAGTGGCAATGGCATGAGTAAGCCAGTGCCTTTTGATGTCTTTATTTACCAGCCACAATGGCCCTCCCTCCACTCCAGCGCTGCCTAAAAGTGGAGAGTGCAGAAGGTGGCCTAATGGAAGTGACTGGTGTCCTCTGGCATGCCGCTATTTCAGTCTGCCCTGCTAGCAACGAGGTGGAAGTTTCCCCTCATTATATTGTTGTTTACAGAATCCTCCTCCTCTTTTCTGATCCCTGATTACTATCATCACCTCAGTGCCAAGACTCTGTGCACGCCCACTATTGCTAGTCATTCATTTCAGCCTCTGAAGCCATGTAAGAATAGATCCTATTTTCTTGCCATAATCGTGTTCTTTCCCACTCTTCCTTGCCCATTTTCAATCCTTAAATAAACTTTGGCATACCTATTAGCCTGCCCCAATCACTGTTTTGACTTTAGCCATCACTCATGTCAGCTCTTCATTGTGCACTAAGGAGGGATTCGTGATTGCCGTTTTAATTAAAATCTGCACTGTTTGTCTCGTTGTCACTCCCTCACACCAACAGTTTGTTCTAAGGCTGATGTAATGAGGCTCTGTCATTGGCAGTATATAAATAGCCCATTTTCCCACTTTAAAAAGAGGCTTATGTAAATATTTCTCTAATAAGCATCTCTGCATCACCATATGCTGTTGCGTAGAACTGTCTTCTTCAGTGGCGGGAGTCAAACCAATGGGAAGTGAGAAGACCAGAACAGAAGGGAATTGGGAGTAGAAAAGTGGAAAGGGGGAATTACTGAGGAGAGTGGTTTGGGGGTTGAGCAGCTAAACTGTCTGGTCTCGCCCATCAACTCCCCCACTTATGTGGCACACTAAGAGAGTCCTCTGTGTGCTGAACTAAGACACAAAATGCTCTGTGAAAGCAGAACATGTCTTCATGTAATGTTTGTAACACAGCGTATCTGTTCCAATCTTATTCCTAAGGTGGTTGTGGTGTATTTGCCCTATTGTCTTAACATTCTCCTGCCACACTGAGCTTTCGAGAAGACATTTGATTTAACAGTCTGTCAGGTTGGATATTTGATTCCTTTCATTTCTAGTGTGGTGGAAAAACCCTTAGTGTGAATGCGTTTTGCAAACATGCAGGTTTTCTCTACTAGCTCTGTCACCTACTACGTGTGAACTCTGTGAGTGTGGGTTGGGGGGTCGGAGTGGGGGCATGCATGGGTAGGCGCGCACGTCGTTTCCACTGTGCTGTATGTGATTTGAATTCCCCCTACTACAGGCAAAGGACCTGAGACACTGTTCGCGGGGCAGAAGCTGAATGACAACGAGTGGCACACGGTGAAAGTGGTGCGAAGAGGCAAGAGCCTACAGCTGTCTGTGGATAATGTCACAGTGGAAGGTTAGTTTTGTTTGGGACACAGAGGGATTGATTTAAAATGAGAGAAATCCACATGTATCATCCTACAAAGAATGTACCCACCCTCAGAAAGTTATCCATTTCACCATTTGTCCTTAAAACAACTCATTTGAAAGAGGACAGTGACTAATTGTAATAATTATGACTGAACCATCTAAATAGCTGAAATAATAAAGCTTGTATTATTTAGACCCAGTACAAAAGATCGTCTTCCAAACGTATACTTTACTATGAGTAAGCAGCTACGAACAAAGTACAGAGAAATAGGTTCTGCCAACTTTTAAGAAAATAGCAAGAGAAGGATGAAAGGTCAAGAGACGAGGTGGAGTCACAGGCACTCACAGTATTGTGGCCTCAGGCGAAAGGATGGAAGGGCAAAGGATGACGGAAGAGGTGAGAAAAAGGTGTGAGCTAGATGAACGGAAAAGAGTGGGCATGCTGAGGCCGGAAGCAAGGAATGACCCTGTGAAGTCCTGACTGGTTCACAAACTGGTTCATGGGGAAGAAAAATGAGGAAACGCCCAGGGAGTTATTGCAGGGCTGGCCAGGCATTAGAAAGGAAGGCATTTTAATCGGCAGCTTACCAACATCATAACTTTACATCTCCTGTGTAAACACACCATAAAGTGCGGTGTGTAGCGCAGTAACAAGAGCATTTGTGAGATATTGTGCTTATAAAGTCTAAATTACTTATCAGCAGGTTAACAAAAGTAGTCCAACAATAACAACATATAATCTTCACACACTTTGTCAGACATCTAAAATCTATTTTAACATATAACAAGTCCAGTAAAGATACACAAAACCCCAACTAAGTAGTTCCTATGAATGGATTATTAGGTTGCAGCTTGGTATGCTTTTCTTTGCAGGAAAAAGCTAAACACAGTTTAATATTCATGGAGAAACCGCGGTTATATCAGATCTGACAGAATCTCCACATAAAGTAGAAACCTCTAGACGGAGATCTTATTTGTCTGCTGAGAAAGGCTATAATTCATTCACAGGTATAATATGACACATTTCAAGTCAGCTCTTTTTCAAGGATGTCTGATATTGCCTCATGGAGAGGACTGCAATTAATGTATTACCATGAAATTAATGTATTACCATACATTAATGCTGTTCTTTTCTTTATCACCTACCATTTTCAGGCCAGATGACTGGTGCCCACACGCGTCTCGAGTTCCACAACATCGAGACAGGCATCATGACTGAGCGCCGCTTCATATCCGTGGTGCCTTCAAACTTCATTGGCCATCTCCAGGGCCTGACCTTCAATGGCTTGCCGTATCTAGACCAGTGTAAAAATGGGGACATCTCTTACTGCGAGCTGAATGCCCGTTTTGGCATGCGCCACATCATTGCAGATCCGGTGACTTTTCGAACGAAAGGCAGCTACTTAGCGTTAGCCACGTTACAAGCTTACGCCTCCATGCACCTCTTCTTTCAGTTTAAAACCACCACACCTGATGGCCTGATGCTCTTCAACTCTGGAGACGGGAGCGACTTTATAGTTGTGGAACTGGTGAAGGGGTGAGTTTCATGTGAACTGACTGAAAAAAAACATGTCTGCTATCACAAAAATAGATGCTCTTTCTTTTCTCCTTTTCTCTTGATGTTTTAAATGACTGATGACAATAAATGTATTATTTTTTAGTTGGATTTTATGTCTTCCCCAATCTGACATCGGCACTAAGCAATCCAATCTTCGGTCAAGCAATATTGATTTATGTTGTAACCAGTTTGCAAATCAGTCCACTCCATTTCATAACCAAATTGCTCAGTGTGTGAATTACAGTGAGCAACACATCTAAAAATAAAACGTATACATATTTTTATTTTTTTAGTTGACACAGATCAGTGAATCATTTGATGTTGCTATGAATCACAGAAGGCTAAATGTAAGTGAGTTTAGTGTATGTTGGTGAGTAATCAGTCATATTAAAAGCTCCATTGGAAGCTGCATATACTGCACCCTGTTATTTGGTGGTAAATATAGAGAGATTCTCATGTCTGTCTTTCTCAAGAACTTTTTTCTCTTGTGTTTGTTTTACAATCTTTTCATGCATAATTCTAAGCCTGAATCCATATTTCTGACCAGAAAAGTGTTTGGTGAATTTTCTACAAAGACTTTGAAAAAGCGAGCGCAAACCAGAAATAAACTGGTTAGACTTGTGAATTGTATCACCCTAAAAAGCTGCTCATAATTGGAGTTTCCAAAAGAGGCTTTTGCATGTGTATCTGTCTTTCTCTTGTGCTCTATATTCAGCACTGTTACAACACAAAAGCCTGACCTGCTTCTGCCACACAAAGACAAGAGGCTCCATAAAGGAATTGGAATCTAGGTAGAAAAAAGAAAAAAAAAAACACATACCTTGAATGAAACAGCCACAATAGCCTTAACCCCAAACACAAAAGACAGCCATATTTGTCTGAAGGAGGGAACTGTGCCACCTTGTCTGCCTGTGGGCAAACAGGGAGTTTTAGACAAAAGCAGGTTTCTATATTTACATGTCAAACCAGACAGAAAAAAACAACAATAAAAACAACAATCCCAGGCCCCATGTGCAGCCACATTAACCGCTTTATTATTTTTCTCAAAAATGTGTTCTTAGAGAAGAGAAAAGGTATGAGAATGAAAGTTATTTAATCACTTTATCATGACAGTTGGAGATTACGTGCTGTTGTCATCAGTGTATGTCCTTGAAATAAAACATATGATGAAAAAACACAATTTAAATTCTAAAGTAAAAGTGCAGTGGTTGCTACTATTTTCTGATACAATCCCACTTTTAAACAGTGATTTTTTTTTGTTCCTTTTACATCAAGGACAGGTATAAAATTAGCTTTATAGTGACAACACAAACGCACTCCTTACTCTGATGTCTTTCTTCACAGTTACGTCCACTACGTCTTTGATCTTGGCAACGGCCCGTCGCTAATGAAGGGCAACTCAGACAAACAACTCAATGACAACCAGTGGCACAACGTGGTGGTGTCCCGGGATGCCAACAATGTGCACACACTCAAGATCGACTCACGCACCGTTACTCAGCACTCCAATGGAGCACGCAACCTGGATCTCAAAGGTAACAGCAACCCACTCAGTACTGTAAATCCTCTAGGAACGCATGTCACTCACAGGAAATTACATCCCTAAATTGTTGTTGGAGAGCAGCTGTGAACACATCATCAGTGAAATAAGCAGTCAAGGCCATGATTGAGTATTTCTGTCATGAAACTGCAGTGTACCAAAGAGTCTCAAAAGCACTGATTCAAACACAAAATATTGAGCTTAGTTGACATGCACCCTGTGTTGATGTCGCTGCTTTAGTCTGTGTTCACACGATATGGGCTCGTCTCAAGCGCATACACTTTGGCTGGAATTCATTAAGAGTAACAGAAGAGGCTTCACCTGGTGGTGCAACCAGAGCTTATCTATCAGCTTATCTACAATGCTTAAAATGTTGATTTTCTAGAAAAGATGGTATTGTTTTGGCAAATACTAAATATTACATTTTCAGAGTCAAAAAAACAAAACAAAACAAAAAAAAACAGGAGTTCCTTAGGTTCCTCTGGATTTTTTTTAATGCAAAAATAAAACCAAACAAAAAACAATATACATATTAATTTGTAATTTGATACATATAGGTTTTAGTGGTGAACTGAATGACTGTTGAGGGACTTTTGCTTGTATTTTCAGTTGTCCTGGCTAAACAAAAAGAAAAGAAAAACATATGAGATATATAAAAATCTCTTTCATTCTATGAGCTAGGTGTAAATATGCTGTCCAAACAAGAGTGGACAGTGGTTGAAATGAAAGTTAACAACAACCTGGCAGCTCATTTAATAGCCTGTCTTCACTTTGAAAAAATGTCCATGCTTTTGAACAGATGTTAAGGAGCAAGGCAATAACAGAGCAAAATCCTTTACCGTTCGGTGTCTAAAATATCACCTAAATCCAACATCACAGGTCTACATGAAAAACAGAAATATTCATACCTCAAACAATGTCAGCTTTTCACATCATCTGTCTGTACTTTGCTCTTTTTGGTTTAACTTTATTTGTCCCCGCTGAGATGCCTGGTAAAAAACAAAAAACAAACAAACAAAAATACTGTTGCATCGGGTGCATCTGACTTTGACCGGAAATTCAATGACTGTCTTTTGATTGAGCCACCTTTACATCTTTGACTTAAAATGCCTTGCCCTCGTAAATCATTTTGAAATAACAGCCGTTGTTACGAGGCACTTAGGGATGAATAGGTGACTCCGGTCTGCTGAGAAACTGGAACTGGAAACTCGGGTAATTCTAGGCTTGAAACTTCAAAAGTCAGGTTTCTGATGTGTTATTTGGATGCTTGAGAGAGGCTATCTGTGGAGCCAAAAAGTGACAGCATGGAAATAAAGAGATAACTACTTGGAAGGAGAATACTAGGTTGCTAACAGAGGACAGACAATAGCACCACCAGTACTGAACTCTTTTAAGTAGGCACTAATATTAAGATTAGCTCAGGATTATTCACTTTGATTTTGCCTGTGTCGTGTCTGCTCTTGAGGGTACAGCAGAACATCAGAAGCGAGGGTGAGCCCCTGGGTCCAACTGAAGGCTGCAAGGAGTCAGAAAGATTAAAATGTGACCCAAGCTTTTTGGGAAGACATGATTTATTAAAAGATTTACCCTTTATTCTGTCTTATCCTTTGGGGTAGTGTACCTCCAAAAAAAAAAAAAAAAAAAGATAATCAGAAAATGTGTAGGCGTGTGGTGTGTAGAGGAACTATGCCAGTGTCCTCACCTTCCCTGGGTTAAAGACAAAGTTAATTAACACAGAACAGTGCTTTCATAAGCCAGAGACAAAGACAATGAAGGGTGTAAAATTGGCTATAGTGGTTTTAGCAGTGGCACGTGTAATTAGCTGGCTGGCCTCAAAAAGAAAGAGAAAAAAATAAAAAATCACGTTTGCCACATATGCTTTGGCGGCGAAATGTAATTGTGACATGCTTTATGTGTCATTATACGTTGTGTTCATTTCACAAAACTCCATTGTCTGTAGAGGGATCAGTAATTACTAGTTATAATGAATGCTTGCTGTCAAATTTTTTGAGTATAGCAAGCTGCAGCATAATTGTATATTCATGTGTGATTGAAAAATGAAACCAGTCTCCTATTCAACCATGGATGCATATAGATGGGTGGCTAATTAAAGGAAAAATCCACATAGTTGATCATCAAAGTTATGTTAGAAAGGTCCTACAGGCCACCAGAATAGTTTCAAGGCTCCTTGGGAAATTACTTTCCAAGTCTCTGGAACACTACCTGAGGGATGGAAGACCTTTCATTGGGTGTTTTTGATTAGCTTGTTGGAGACTTGCCGTCAAACACATAAGTCCAGGTCCAGAATCTACCATGTTTGCTGGATTGAGATCTGGTGACTTTTAAGATATACACACCAGTTTTATTCTTATATAGTCATTGAGTGACCCCTTGTTGCGTATTGATGTGGGTTTGCACCCTACCTTCAGTTTACACCACACATGCCCGCTTGTTGATAATGTGATGAATCATCTAATCAGATTACTTTTATCAACAGTGCATCCTTCCTTATAATTAAGTATGTATGCACTGCAACTCTATTTTAATATCCTAACAGCAGCTTCCAGCCCCATTTACTGATGTCTTCCCTCATAAATCTCAATGCAGATACTCTGGTCTCTGTTCATATTGAAATACAAGTGAGTTTGACAGTGTTTTTGCATCATGCCCTTGCCACCTGTACCTCAACAATGAACCCTCTCTCAAAGTCACTTCAATCCATTACATTTGCCATATTGATACAAAATCAGCAGGTTTGTTTGTTTTGTTTTTGTCTTAATTGTACCACACAGTGCACCTTTGTGAAAGCCTCAGCTGTGTTTCTCCACTCAATCATTCTGCGTTTTCTTTTCATTTGTCATACATCTGGGTCTGCATGAGCGATCTCCTACAGTAAAGTGAAGTAATTAATGTCTGTATTTAAGATAGTTTGTTGTTGATTGATTGCTTCTGTCTACGACGTGGCAGAGACTGCTGTCAATCAACTCTGAGATTAGACAGGCGAGTCATTAAGAAACTGACAGTGATGTTTATAAGGGAGTGTGCTGCAGTCCTGCAGGTGTTGGACCATGTTGCTTTTGCTTTAGGCCCCCCGTGTCATCTTAATGCTCTCACTGCCCCCATTTTTTTGCAGCCATGTTGACCTGTGTCCTGCCTAATCAAGGCGAAATGTTTCACAACCAACTCTGACGCTGAAGGTTACACATACTCGGCCGTCATTATATTTTACGTAATATAAGCATGTCTTCCAATTATTAGAATAGACATTGTTCTCCAAGCAATACAACTGGTGTTCCGTCACTTGAGAAATTAACAGACAATTGGACCTCCTGCTTAGAAAACACAACCAACTAAGAAGGCACAGACGAGATCCCTCAGCTGCCCAAAACAGTGTCATACAGCAACAATGGCTCCATTTACATATTTAGAATTACAGACACCCTATTGAATGTTTTGTTGGGTTTTTTTTTCTCCCCACAAATGAAACAGAAGGCAGCTTTTCAGTGCCCAATCACCACAGTATTCATGGCTGGGGAATAACCCTCCATCTGTGTTATTAATGTGTAAGCTGCTGTGTTTGTAACTTCTTTATTTTCAGGGTTCCTTTTCCTTATCTGAACAACTCTTGCCTGCTGGGGACAGAGATTGAGTCAGATTGGTGCTAGTGGGAAGAATAATAGTTGTAAATCTTGCTTCAGAGGACTTTAGTGGGGGGAAGGGGATGTCTCTATCCTCAATTCCCTTGTCTAATTGGGCATTCAAACCTTTCTCTGTGGTTCTAGTGTGACAATTCCCCAGCCAAAATATCATGCGTAGCTCAAACGCTATAAAACTGGAGCAAAGCACTAGGTCTAAGCATATGTGTAGGTAGAGAAAACCCCTTGGCAAATGCATAAATACATATACTATCAAACTTGATAGACACAATATTTTTTTTTTTACTCCTTTTACGTCTGTGTACGCCCAGAGTCGCTCATGCTATTTACGTTTTTCTGGCTGTTCAGCAGTCACACACAAAGCCCTGCAAATCAAACACAGAAGAAATAGCAATAATAAGCCATTTTTTCACAATCTCTTTGCTCTGTTTTAACACCATTTCAGCCTGAATTTCAAAGAAAAAAACCCAATTCGCCAAGCTTTATCTGTGTAATTGCACAGAGAAAATGGGGAAAATGGGTTTTGTGCTCTCTGTCGTCATCTTCTTTGTTTTTGGACAGGCAAAAAAATCTTCAAGGCATCCTTCTTTGTCAGCTAAAGTATGGTACGGGAACAACACACAGTCCCCGAGGATAGCACTGAGTGGATCTAGTTCAGTATAGAGAATGCAGAGCAAGACACGGTAAACATACACCGTACAAGGAGAATGGCCCTGCCATTCCTGTTGACAACGAGCAGAACACAGTGAAAGCAGATTTCTTGGCACATCCTTGCCTTGAAATAACCTTGTTGATTCTGCAGCAACACATTGCAAGAGGATCTGTATCAAATATGCCAGAGAGCCTTTACAACATGATGGTAGAACATGATAATGCAGAAAAATCCTTTAGTTATACCAAATGGAGGTGAGAGATACCACAAATCATGATAAGCCGAATGTGATATCACACTAAGTGCATATTTTTGGAACTTGGAATTTGTGCTTGTTAATTTGATATAGAAGAGTGAGCGAGCTGAAACTAATTGCCTTCTGCTGTATCTCTCACATTTCCTTAAAAATCCATTGTGTCTATTTATCTCATGATCAATTATGTCTGTATGTAGTAATGGTAAGTAAGTAATAGGAGTATTTAGCATGATAGTATGGCTGTTACAGACTGTTGGCCCGTCTTTTCTTCCGCCAAGTGCATACATTATCAATGAAAGCAAAGAAGTTGACTAAAACAATGTACAGTATCTTTCTTAGAGTCTGAACTTGTGATTGCCCAATGGGGGATTCTCCACAGGATGAATTGTTTTTGATTACCAACACCCATCCCCAGCCGCTACTTTGATCCA